TAGTATCCTGTAGCGCTACACCAGGACCAGAACTTCTTGGAGCCTACTAATACAAAGTTTCCCCCAAAATAAGGCAGAGCGATTCTCAATGTCAAATGCAATTATGCTATACATTATGTATTTGAAATTGCTTAGTTGAATTCAGCAATTAGGTTACTAGCCACTTTAGTGAAACCTCCTTTAGTTGAAGTTGGAGCAGAAACAAGATCACAGTAATTTTGAGATTTTAAAAGACAAAATACTAGAAATTTTACCAGATAAAAAATAGAGGACCAAAGAAAACAAGAGCAACCCATGAAGTGGATTAATACAACAGCCTTGATAGTGGTCTCCAACATAGAGCCATTATGAGGATGGTGTAGGACCCAGCAAGGTTTCATTTTGTATATGGAAGGGGTAAGGTAGAGAGGCAGAGCTGGCTCATCGGCAAATAAAAACACCACAGGATCTGCCAGATGGGATTTTTCAGGACTTCAAGGATAGGAAAGAAATAAGGAAATGAAACCCACTACCATCGAGTCAATTCCAACTCATGATATAGGACTGAGGAGAATGGCCCTTTGGAGTTTCTGAGACTGTACAGGGGCAGGCAGCTTCATCTTTGTCCCACAGAGCACCTGTGGTTTGAACCACTGATGCTTGTGGTTAGCAGCTGCAAGCAGGTAGCGGCAAGAATGCCCTTGAACAGGAAGGAAGGCTGTCTTACCCTCTTGAGAATGAGAGAGATGTCTTCAGAATTGTATTTGATATTTGCCCTTTCACTTTGCCAACTTGACCTTCATGTTTGAAATTCAGCTAAGCGTTCCCATTGTCACTGACTCGATTCCAGCTCCTGGCAACCTCTTGTGAACAGAGTAAGACTTCACTCCTTCTCCTGAGCTGCTTTTGGGCTGCTTCAAATGGCCAGCCTCTTGGTTAGTAGTCAGTCACTTAGCCATTTGGGCCACTCAGAAACCTTTCTACACACCTTCTGTTTGTTCTGGCATCTAAGCCTCTTCTCTCTTACATTTTCATTATGGGACTCTCTATTTCTTCTTTATCTACATCCTGTTGTTGGTAGTAATCAACTTTACCTAATTTTGAATGTTAGTTTAAAGTTTGCCTGAGAGCAGTTCTTGTTTTTAACACTTTAAAATGTTTGTTTAACTGCTTATATATAAATAAAATCAATCGTTTTTGCTCATTTTGACAGTAATTCCTCTTTTTCACTTTCACCAGTCAACCAAATGGCTTCAGGAATGAAACTGACTTTCAAAATATGCAGTGTTTTCTCTTCCCTAATACATGGAATTTGCTCTAATCACAATTGCCTCTTTTTCATGGCTAGTATTTCCTGTCTTTAATAGCCTTCAACTCTCACTTGTCAGATCTGTCATTCAAATTTATCACCTCCTCCAATGTGTCCTTTAACTATTGGGACCTGATAATAGCAACTACTTTGCATGATTGATTCCTGACCCTTCCAGCTCCTCGCTGTTGGTAAGCCCCTGGAAAGCATTGTGATCTAACATCTTTTGATAAGCTCCTTTTGCCTTGCCAAGAGATAGAATCATGTTGTGTGTCAAAAATGTTTCCACTTACCCATAGTGAAAGTAAAGATAATGTCAGTAAATAATTACACTAGCTACTTATGGCAAAGAAAATTGTTTGACTCTGACTTATAGTTAACTTTATTATTTTATTGCCAAAAACCTGTACTAAACTCTTTAGATGTAGCTGATTACATAAACACTGACCCTTGAGCTTTGACGTCCTTGTTGTTGTTGTTGTTGTTAAGTGCCGTCGAGTCGGTTCCGACCCATAGCGACCCTGTACAGGGTTTCCGAGGGTGTAAATCTTTACAGGAGTAGAAAGCCTCATCTTTCCCCACGGAGCAGCTGGTAGTTTCGAACCACTGACCTTAAGGTTTGCAGCCCGATTCGTAACCACTACGCTACCAGAGCTCCTTAAGTGTTACTAAGTGCCATGGAGTCTGTTCTGACTCACAGCAACCCTGTATAGGGTTTCCAAGGAATATTGGGTTTGAGCCACAGCTCTACCAGGACTCCTTGGGTATTAATTCAGTTCTTACTAGGAGGAGATGTTTTATTATATGTCCAATTTATTTCTTATATTGATAAAAATGGCTTAGGTCACTATCCAGAACTAAGCTACATTCACATTTGACTGTAAGTAACTAAACATCCCTTCCTTTAGGACTTTGTAAAGTGAAACAGTTACTAGAGTTGTCAGCATTCCAGAGACTGTTGTTGTTGTTGTTGTTAAGTGCCGTCAAGTCGTTTCCGACCCATAGCGACCCTGTACAGAGACTATGGCTTCATTTTTGATGTGAGTCCGTGACATACACTGCAGGTTGCGCACTACTACAGGGAATGCACTCCTATGGGATGTGCAGGACTACAGGAGTGTACTACAGGGCATACTTGGTTCTTGTCAAATTCTTTTAGCCACTGGCCTTACATTGAATTAAACCATTTTTTACTTTTGAAAATCTTTAAGTTACTTTTCAGGATCTTAAAAGAAAGATTGTTTCTGATTACTTGGTGAAAGAGGATTAAATATATTAGCAGTCTGTTTAGTATATTGTGCCTTCTAATAAATCTGTGGTAGAAATCAGCTATTTATGAAACTTTATCTTTATTCCTATTTAAGCTTTATTGTGGAATAGGATCTCTTGTGCCATGTCTACTTTGGGTATGAAGAAAGTGATGACATTTAATGCTAATACACTATATTTCAAATTTTAGAAATGCATTTTTAGTGTGCTAATAAGTAGTAAACTAATGTCAAAATTGAAGGTGTAATCTGTAAATAGAAGGCTCTGGTCAGTGGAAAAGACCCAGACCAGGAGTCAGGAGACTTGAGAACTAGAATTTTAGTCCCAATTCTATATCCTTGTACAGATAGCTTATTTAATTTCTTAAAAAATTTAAGCACATTGGACCCATTCAGTTACCTTCCAATGTTACAACTTTACAATTAATGTGATTTGAATATATTGATAAGGGGGTAGTGAATGTATACTTGTATTGCTGTAGAGTTTTGCTTTTATAAAACTGTAATGCCAACTCATATAAATGCACTCGCATCATGTCAGTTCTTACTCACAGTGATGCTCTAGGACAGCTAGAACTGCTCCCATAGGCTTAGCAAGACGACATCTTTATAGGTGTAGGGGCCTCATGTTTCTCCCTCAGAACAGCTGCTGAGTCTGAACCTTTCAGTTAGCAGCCTCTGAGCCAGCAGGGTTCCTTTTTTCACTTAAATAGGATATTACATATTTTTTTAATATAGAAATGCAAATATGTGTTTCAAGTGTTAATTTTACGCTTAATGTATTTTGGGAGGGCTTTGTCATAGAATAATTTCCATAAGCACAAATTAGAACAAGTAAACTTAAAAGACTTCACTCTAACATAATTCATATTGCAGCATAATTAAAGATTATGCTTAACCTCCCCCCATCTTACCAATAAATATACTGCCTTATTTTACATTTTTATTATGAAAATTTCTAATTATGATAATCGCTTCAAATATTTTCAAGTCTATTTTAACTAGTTTGCAATAAATGTAATAGTAATCTCAGTCTTTATAATGAAACTGGGCTTTTTAGTGGGCTTCAGCAGTTTATAGAGAGAGATAATATGTTTGTTGTTGTTAAGTGCTGTTGAATCAATCCCAACTCATAGCAACCCTGTGTAGGGTTTCTGAGGAGCAGCTGGTGGATTTGAAGACCAGCTTTGTGGTTCACAATCCAGTGCTTACCTACAGCACCACACCAGAAGTCCACATAAATATATTGTTGTTGTTGTTAAGAGCTGTTAAGTCAGTTCAGCCTTACAGCGACCCTGTATAGGGTTTCCAAGGTGCAACTGGTGGGATTGAACTATCGACCTTTTGGTTCACAGTCCAGTGCTGATCCTGCAGCGCAACACCAGGATATTGTGAAGTGCCATCAAGTCGGTTCCAACCCATAGCGACCCTGTATAGGGTCTGAGGAGCAGCTGGTAAGCTTGAACTGCCGGCTGTGCAGTTCAGATGCACTTTGCAGTCCATAGCATTAACCCACAGCTCCACACCAGGACTCCATATATATAGGAGGCTTCAAAATGTTCATGGGAAAATTCCTTAATCTTTATTTCCATTTTCCCACAAACTTTTTCAAACCCTCTAGTATATGCCAGGGAGTCCTGGTATAGCGCTGTGAGATAAAGCACTAGACCGCAATGTTGGTTTGAACCTCAAGGTTGGTGGTTCAAACTCACCAGCCACTCCTTGGAAACCCTACACAGGGTCGCTATGAGTCGGACCTGACTCACCAGCACTTAATGACAAGTATATACCAGGAGTCCTGGTGTGACACTGTAGGATAAGCATTAGACCATCACACAGTGGGTTTGAATCACAAGGTCAGTGGGTCAAACTCACCATCTGCTCCTCGGAAACCCTATACAAGGTCACTATGAGTTGTAACAGCCTTAATGGCACTTAAAAACAGCAGTATATACTGAAAACCCAAGTCCATTGCCATTGAGCGGGTTCCAACTCATAGCAACCTTAGAGGGCAGAGTAGAGTGCTCCCTGGAGGCTTCCCAAGGGTTCAGTCTTACGGAGGCAGCTGCTTCATCTTTCTTGTAGAGGAACTGGTGGGTTCAAGCTGCTGTCATTTCAGCTAGAGCCAACTGCTTTAATCACCATGTCACCAGGGTTCCTATCTGCATAAAATTTGTCTGGGGAGGAATATTGTTTCAGGTCGCAATGTAAGCTGTAGCTTCTTTATTAAAGGCTCTAATTATAGGAATGCATTCACATGACTGATTTCTATGTGGATAACCTTTAAATAGTGTTAAATTTATATTTTTTTAGAGGATTTTTAACTTCAAAGGGGAGGGGCTTTACAATTGAATACTAAGTCAGGTGTCTGAAGGCGATTTTGCCCCACCTCTTGCATGTGTTTCCTTGGATTTGATAGTAATTGTATCTTTTGTTTTGCACAGACTCAAATCCAGTACCTCAAGCAAGTTCAGCAGCCTACCGTTGCCCAACTGAGATCCACCATGGTAGACCCAGCGATCAACTTGTTTTTCCTAAAAATGAAAGGTGAACTGGAACAGACTAAAGACAAACTGGAACAAGCCCAAAATGAACTGAGTGCCTGGAAGTTTACGCCTGATAGGTAAACAAATCCTACTCCCCAGTCAAGACTTCCCTGACAGTCCCACTACGAGAAAGCTGTGGTGGGACAGCCACGTACACGTTTCCACACCAAGACGCAGACTTTTTGAGCCAAAAAAGCCACATTCTTATACTGTCCAGCTTGTAATGGTTAATGTAAAACTTACCCGATGAACCTTGTGTTTCAGCTTTTTTCTCTTCCCCTCCCCTTGCTTCAGAGGCCTGATGGCGTCGAACTATTTTGAAGAAGTGTCTACCTCCGAAAAAAAATCCCTTCTAGGAATTTTAGACACTTGAGAAATGTTTCTGTTTGAAGAAAATAGAGGGAGAAGCAGAAGTCTTAAGTCTGTGGCACACTGTGTCTTCAGACAGTTTGGAGAAATGAA